GTGCACAACAAAATGAGACACTGCCCAGTCCTGCACCATCCTCACAATTGTTGTCACGCTTGAGCCTATCCCAATCCATCTCATTAGGGGTCGTCCTCTCTAGTAACGCTCCCCTCTACCAAGCATAATGTCTTTCTCCAGGGACTCTTCCCTTATAATAATATGTCTGAAAGATGGCAGAAGCAGTCTCGTCATCCTGGGTTCTCGGGAGCATTGTGGCTGTACTTCTTCCAACACAAATTTGTTTCGTCTTCTGGAAGTCCATGGTACTTTCAGTATTTTTCTGCAACATCGTTTCCTCAAATGTTTCAATTATTCTACAGTTTTTCTTATTCATTGTCCAATTTTCACATGCATTGAAAATACCATGGCTTGGTCCTCAAACTGATATCTTTGCTCTTGAACACTTTAAAAAGAGGTCTTGTGCAGCAGATTTGTTTAATGCAATATATTGTCTGATTTGGGAGCAGGTAGTGTTTCATCCTGTTGTGTATAGGGTTGCTATGAGTTGGTACCGACTTGATGGCACCTAACAGCAACAGGAGCTCCGGTAGCGTAGTGGTTACAAATCAGGCTGCGAACCGCAAGGTCAGCAGTTCAAAACTACCAGCTGTTCCATGGGAGAAAGATGAGGCTTTCTGCTCCCGTAAAGATTTACAGCCTCGGAAACCCTGTTCGGGGTCGCTATGGGTCGGTACCGACTCGATGACACTTAACAACAACAACAGTAACTTACATGAGTATTGATTGTAGATCCAAGCAAAATGAAGTGTTTGACAACCTCAGTCTTTTCGCCACTTATTACAATGTTGTTTATTGGTCCAGTAGTGAGGATTTTTGTTTTCTTTACATTGAGGTGCAATCAGTATTGAAGGCTGTGGTCTTTGATCTTCATCAGTAAGTATTTTAATCTTCCTGCCTTCCAGCAAGTAAAGTTGTATCATCTGCATATTGCAGCTTGTTAATGAGTTCTTCCTCCAATCCTGATCTCACATTCTTTGTCATATAGTCCAGGTTCTCAGATTATTTGCTCAGCATACAGATTGAATAAGTGTGGTGAACGAATACATCCCTGCACGAAGTGACTGGCTTACAAGCTTTTAAGAGAGAGTTTAGTTTTAGAGTGTGTGGGAGAATGCAGAATCCCCACTGAATAGTTTTCATCTTGTCTAGATGGGTCTGGTGAAAGGAGATGGGAATAAGATTCTTATGATTCAATAGTGAATAATTATTTTCCTGACTAATTGTGACTGTCACAACTGTAAAGGTAGAATTTTTGTAACAAAAACAGGGGAGTAGTTCATCTTACATTCCAGAAACAGAGGACCCTAGAACTATCAAGGGCGAAGAGAATGAGCAGAATGTGGGACCCTAACCAGAGAAGCAGTGACACCAGAGATGGAGGCCAATATGATGACATGGAGAGAGAGAGCAGTGGAGGACTCTAGACTCATGGAAAGAGAAAGGCTGTGTGCTGGTGGCCAGGAGGCAAACTTGCAGAATATGCCCTTTGTTTGTTTAAATGATTATATATTCCTGAGTGTTTTTGTGTATGCTGCCCCTCCCCTAAAAAAAAAGCACACACACACACAAAAAAAAAACACACCAGAGACAATAGAAGGAAATACTGTTGAATGATAATGCACGTAGGCGATTGTAATTATTGCAATGAAATGATGAGTGTAAAACCGATGTTCTCCCATGTAAACTGTTCTTCTATTCACAGTAAAAACTTAAAAAATAAATAAAATAAATAAAATACAGCACTGGTAACACACCTTTCCTGATTTTTAAAGCATTCAGTGTCCCCTTGTTTTGTTCTAACAACTGCTTTTTGGTCTAGGTACCGGTTCCTCATGAGCACAGTGAAGTGTTCTGGAATACCCATTCTTCCCAAGTTTATCCATACAGTCGAAAGCCTTTACATAGTCAGTAAAGTACAAGCAAATATCTGTCTGGTATTCTCTGCTTTCAGCCAAGATCCATCTGATGTCAGCAATGATCCCCCTAGTTCCACGTATTCTTCTGAGTCCAGCTTGAGTTTCTAGCAATTCCTTATTGATGTACTCTTTGAGCAGTTTTTGAATGATCTTCAACAAAATTTTGCTGTGATATTAATGATAGTTTGATGGGTTCCACAACCTGTCGAACCACCTGTCTTTGGAATAGGTATAAATATCGATCTCTTCCAATCGGTTGGCCAGATTGCTGTCTTAGATATTTCTTGGCATAGAAATTTGCATATGTTTGTTGAAAGATTTCACTTTATTTTTTGTCAATTCTTGGAACCTTGTTTTTTGCCAGTACTTTCAGCGCAGCTTGAACGTCTTCCTTCAGTACCATTAGTTCTTGATCATATGCTATCTCTTGAAATGGTTGAACATTTGACCATTTCTTTTTGGTACAGTATGTGTTTATCTTCCATCTTCTTTTGGTGATATTTGCATCATGGATTTTTTCTTATGGATTCCTTCAGTATTGCAAATCAAGGCTTGAATTTTTTCTTAAGTCCTTTCAACTTGAGAAATACTGAGTGTGTTCTTCCCTTTTGATTTTCTAACTTCAGGTCTTTGCGAATTGCAGTAGAATACTTGACTTTGTCTTCTCAAGCTACCTTTTGAAATTTTCTGTTCAGTTCTTTTGCGTCCTAATTTCTTCCATTCGCTTAAGCAGCTCTACCCTGGAGAGCAAGTTTTAGAGTCTCTTCTGACATCCATTTTGGTCTTGTCTTTCTTTCTTTCCTGTCTTTTTAATGACCTTTGGGTTTCTTCCTGTTTGATGTTCTTGATGTCAGCCCACAGCTCTCTGGCGTTTAGTCATTAGTGTCTAATGTATCAAATGTGTTCTTCTGATGATCTCTAAACTAAAGGTAGAATATGTTCAAGGTCATATTTTGACTCTTGTGGACTTGTTTTAATTTTCTTCTGCTTCAGCCTAAACTTGGATATGAGCATTTGATGGTCTGTTCCACTGTCGATCCCTCACCTTGTTTTGGCTGATAATAGGGAGCTTTTCCACCCTCTCTTCCCATAGATGTAGTCAGTTTAATTCCTGTGTATTCCATCTGGTGAAGCACATGTATATAGTCATCTTTTTTGTTGTTTAAAAACGGCATTTAAGTGAAGAAGTCATTGGTCTTACAAAATTCTGTCATGCTATCTCCAACATCATTTCTGTCACCAAGTAGTTTTCCAACTACTGATCCTCTTTGTTTCCAACCTTTGCATTCCAGTCGCCAGTAATTGTCAGTTCACCTTGTTTGCATGTTTGAACAATTTCAGACTGAAGAAGTTGGTAGGATTTTATCATCACTGACTTTAGTGGTTTATGCGTATATTTGAATAATATTGTTAGTAATTGGTCTTTTTATAGGTATATGGATAGTATATCACAGACAGCATTGTATTTTAAGATAGATCTTGAAATGTTCTTTATGATGATGAAAGCAACTCCAACCCTCTTGAAATTTTTGTTCCCGGCATAGTGTAAACCACATGATTGTCAGATTCAAAATTGCCAATACCTGTCCATTTCAGCTTACCAATGCCTAGGATACTCATTGCATCTTCATGCATTTCTTCCAATTTTCCTAGATTCATACTCTGTACATTCTGTGTTCCTATTTTTAATGGATGTTTGCTGCTGTTTCTCCTCATTTTGAGTTGTGCCCCATCAGCAAATGAAGGTCCTGAAAGCTTTACTCCATTCACGTCTTCACGGTCAACTCTACTTTGAAAAGGCAGCTCTTTCCCAGTCGCATTTTGAGTGCCTTCCAACCTGAGGGCTCATCTTCCATCATTGTATCTGACAGTATTTTGGTGTACTTCATGTTTCCATCTTCTGACACTACAGCTAATGATGCTCCACTGCTAGTCATAAGGTTTCCTGTGGCTTAACTTTCAGAAGTAGTCTGTCTCTCCTTCTTCGTAGTCTGTCTTCATCTGGAAGGCTCAGCTGAAACCTTCCCCCCATGGGTGTTCCTGTTGGTATTTTAAATACCAGTGGCATAGCTTCCAGCATCACAGCAACATGTGAGCCACCACACACAGTATGACAGACTAACCGATAGCTGGTGACAGACATGTGGCTAGCAAATTAAACATCACAAGTAGAGAGTAAGAAGAAAAAGGTTGGAGTATTATCAAAATCAGAACCAAGTTGTAACAGATAAATGTTCATGTTCTTAAAAGGCCTATCTGTATAGTACCAGTAGTTAGTCTATGCAATATGACTGTTTATAGTACCTTATTTGTAACTGATGATTTCAAATAAAAATACAGCTTCAGTGCTGAAGTGGCATTTAGGGAGAACCCACTGAGTCCTCTGACTGCTTGCTGTTCATCGCTGATCTCAAGCTTTTTGAAACAGGTGTTTGTTTCCATCTTGTCATGTTTTACGGGATCTTTGATAACTTCTACAGCGATTCCTCAGAAAAAGGATTAGAGAAAGTGACTCATAGTCCTTTGGTATCAAGAACTAATATTTATTAAACTAGTTGGTTGATCTGTTTCATTGTCTGGAGTTTGGGATTTACTGCTTCCGAGGCCACAGGCTAATCCTCAGTGAATTTCCCTTCCTTGTCTGCAGAGTGATACTCACAGGAAGCAGATAACCAGAATTATATGATACCTTTCTTCATATTGATAAGATTGTCACAATTAAGGATAGAGATGATGTGTCGCTTACTGAATTGTAGCTTTTGTAATTTTTTAATTGAGAACAAAAAACTAGAAGAAGCCAGAGAAATAGGTACACACATATTCTGTATACTCATCCCATTCATTGTTGAAAAGCTGGTGTCAGTGATAGCATGGAGGTATTACCGTGAGCTAACTTGCCCATTTATGAATGAAGCTGAAAACAAGGAATTGTGTTACCCTGTATTAAAAAGTGTGCTCTATGTACACAAAAGAAATGCTCTTACGGGGAGAAGCTTGGTGATGAGAATTCAGTGGCATGACAGTTCAGTGTTTTGATCATCTGTTCTCCATGTTTCCTAGAAGACTGTAACTACAGCTTCTATGATTACCACAAAGACACTACCTCTCGTCTTGAAAGCAGCAACTGCGACCATGCCTGCCTCTGTGGTGGGCCAGAGACCTACCATTGCTATGGTGACCGCCATCAACAGTCAGAAGGCTGTGCTCGGCACTGATGTGCAGAACACACCAGTCAACCTCCAGACATCTAGTAAGGTCACTGGACCTGGGTCAGACGCTGTCCAAATTGTGGCAAAAAACACAGTCACTCTGGTAAGCCAGCAGCTGCTGCTCCTTTATGCCCACATGATAGGATTTGGGAGATGCATTTTGCTGGATTTCACAGCTTTCGTTCCCCCTTTCCATTCCAAATTCCTCTGCAGTGTTGACAAGGGACTCTGGTATTCCTACCATCTGCTTTAATAACTACAGAACTGTCCCAATACTAATGACCAAAATTTAATGCATTATTTGAGGTCAAAGTATGACTTGACTTTACAGATGTCCTTCACAGAGGCGTACACTTCCATTTATCTTTCCTTCCATTCTTCCCACAGTCCTCCCTATCAAACTTGAGCACTTGAAATCACTTGTGCTGTATTAAGGCTTTGGGAGATACTCCCTGCTAAATTTTTAAAATCACTATTCCTTTAAGCTAATTACACCCAGAAAGTACTAGAGTTGACTGGGGCACTTTCAAAATATTCAAGAAATTTACAAGTTAACAGTGTCAGTGTTCGAGGTCTATTAGAGAAAAGATCCTTGAAGGAGAAACTACTTGAACTAGAAGTTGTTCCTGACATTTCTAGGGTAAAGCTGTTTAGAAGCTGATGTTCTTTGAATCTTGGGGGAACTATATCCAAATTTTGAATTAAAATTCCATGCCTAAAATGGCAGCTAAGAGCTCTTGGTGGCTTTTGAGTGATGCCCAGTGATGAGTGAAACCAGAGAGCAATAAAGTGAAGCTTCACTACTTACCAAGGAATCCTTAGAGAAACAACCAGATAACTCAGCCAGATGCTAAGAGTTAGGAAATTCTCTATAGGGATAAAACCATTCGCAGTTAGATAAAAAGCTCTTATATTAGGAAAAAGCCCACTTGGCCAGGCAGCAAGTTTGATTTTACTTTGGATCCAGCCTTGACTTTTAAAATATGTAAGTGCAAGAGTTCTTGAATGTCAGTGTCTGCTTTGTTCTGCATGAGGTGAATGAGGAAACAGAAGTGTGGAGGGTTTCCATTGCAGGGGAAGCATGCAGGTGGCAGAGTGAAAATGTTCCTAAATGCAGCGCTCATTCAGATGATGAGCTCCATCTACAAAGAGAGCTTGTAGAAATGTTGTCTGATCCAGAGAATAGTGATGCTGAAAGTTTTTTACATACCTACCTTTAATATTGAACAACTCTGGTTTTCCTCACTGGTTTATTGATCTTTCTCATTTTTCAGCAGGTTCAGGCAACGCCTCCTCAGCCCATCAAAGTACCACAGTTTATCCCCCCTCCTAGACTCACTCCACGTCCAAACTTTCTCCCGCAGGTGAGTAAGCCAGTGACAAGGTCAGTTGTGGACCAGGTGGGGCAAATTCCTCAAAGGCCCTTTTCTAAGCAGTCATAGTGGGGCTTGTCAGCACAGCTGTATTCTGATCCCACTTAGCTAAAATGCTGGCTGCTGGTTTCCAGACATTGAAGATGCTTATTTTATCATCAAGATTTCTTAGCATTGACCAAGGGGGGTACCTGAGGCAAAGGGAAATGACCAAGATTTAAAACAGTTGCAATAAAACCATTATAAACCTTATAATGTTAACCTACAAGAAGAATTTACACCAAACCTGTCTGGAATTGGGAACTCTTTCCTATTTGACAGCGAGAGTAGGAAAGAAAACAGCAGCCAGACTTACCAGTAAAAACCATTCTGTTGTATTCTAGAAAGTGATAGTATGGAGTATCCATTTAATAGGGTTACATAGGGGTCTCAACAGGGAACATCCTACACCTAGGCCCAAATAGCTCTGCTTTCCCATAATCTTTGTAGGGCAATTCTTTAGCAAGTAGGCTACACTCACTATTCTCATGGAAGAATGTCTGGATGGCCCCAATCTGGACCTTGGTGTGAAGTAGACTTACCTGGCAGAAAGGCTGGAAGTTCCTATCTGGTGGCCCAGAATTCAGGTGAAAAGAGAAGAGAAAGGAATTTTGTGGTCAATAACTTAATTGGTTTCAAAATAACCTCTGGTTGTAAGGGGTGTGCTAGGCACTATGGATATGCCAGGTTTCAAGACAGACAATTCTCTGCCCTCAGATAGCATAAAGTCTGGCTGGAATTTCAGGTACATGTTCAGGCAGTTATAGTACCTGTTAGGAGAAGTACAGGGTGGTCTGAGAATAAATAGGAAGGACCCCTGACCCAGTTTTAAGAGGACTAGAGGTTTCCTTGAAGGGTTGACATCCAGCTGGAGACCTAAAACCCTAGTCTAATTGGCCTGATAAAGGTTATGGAGGAAGAATAAAAATGTTCCAGACAGAGGGCAGACCATATATGCAGATTCATAGGGGAGAAATGCATACAAGTTTAAGGAACCAATGGAGATTTGCTGTGACTCAGCACAGAAGACCAGCTAACTCTGGAACCTCACGCTAGGTAAGAGATGAGGCTGGATGACTGGGATCACAGCCTGTAGAACAATGTGGCACCGATGTTTAAGACTTTAGGTCTTATCCTAAGAACAGTGGTGATCCTTTAAAGAACTTCAGACAGGCTCTTGACATGCTAAGATTTATGGTTTAGAAATGCTGTTCTTGCCATTGTATAGATTGGAGATGGTCAAGACTGCAGACAGGAAGACAGGACTTTGTTAACAATGATAATAGTGAATGTTTAGAGAATCCTGACACATTCCAGGTACTGTGCTAGGTACTTGTCATGGATTATTTTATTTAAGCTTCACAACAACTTTAAGAAAGTGGGCATTATTTTTTTTTAGATAAGGAATCTAAAGGCTTAGTACATGTTTTTCAAGTGGTGGGTCATGACCTATTAGTAGACCGTGAAATCAGTTTAGTTGATTATAACCAAAGTTTTTAAAGAACGTGAAAAAAAACAAGAAAGGTAAGAGTGCATCATACTGTTTCATAAAGTTTTTGTATTGCAGATAGACATACATGAGGGTAAGTCAAAAAGTATTGCTACTAGGGTTTCAGTTCATATGTGCATGGATTTATTCCAAACAGAATGTGTCTTTATTATCAGTGGATGGCTAAAGACAAGTTTCTCAGTAATATACTTGCCTTAGTCTTGTTACTATATAGCACACTGGACCAATTCATTATGATAATTGAAGAAAAGATTGAAATTGTCAAATACTTCATTTTGCTGGGATCCACCATCAACACTCATGGAAGCAGCAGTCCAGAAATCAAATGATGTCTTGCATTAGGAAATCTGCTGCAAAAGACCTTTTTAAAAGTATTGAAGAGCAAAGATGTCAGTGAGAGGACTAAGGTGTGCCTGACCCAAGCCATGGTAATTTTAGTAGCCTCGTATGCATGTGCAAGTTGGTCAGTGAATAAGGAAGACTATAGAAGAATTGATACATTTGAGTTATGGTGTTGGAGGAGAATATTAAAAGTATCATGGACTGCCAAAAGAACAAACAAATCTATGTTGGAAGAAGTATAGCCAGAATGCTCCTTAGAAGCCAGGGTGGCCAGCCTTCATCTCTCATACTTCAGGCATATTATCAGGACAGCCAGTCCATGGAAAAGGACATCATGCTTGATAAACTGGAGAGTCAGCAAAAAAAAGTATGACATCCCCCCCCCCCAAAGAAATGGATTGACAGTGAGCTCAAATGTGACAATTGTGAGGATGGCACAGGACCACACATTCTGTTGTGAGTCGTAACTGACTCAACAGTACCTAGCAGTCACAACAACAGTCTTGTTAAGGTGCCTTCAATAAAGGGATACTAGACAAAAGCATATTGCAAAGATCAGCCTGCTCAAGCTGAACTTTCCTTCAGTCTATTAAGTAAGACCAAAGCTAACAAAGACAATTTTATGGATCCATTCACAACCAGGGACAAGACTTGGATTTACCAATATGGCCCAGAGAACAAGGTCTAATCAAAACAGTAGCTTCTGAGAGGATTTGCTGGGCCAGTTAAATTCAAGGCAGAAAGATCAGCTGAGAAAGTTATAGCAATCATTTTTTTTTTTTAGGGGAGTTGGGGGTGGATTCCAAAGAGACAAATCTTGATAGATATTCTCAAAGGACACAGGACTGAATGCAGGGGCTTATTAAGAAATTCTAGGAAAATCGAAAACTGCATTGGTGAGAAAAAAGTTAACCAAGTTGTACCAAGGAATTTTTTCCTATCACAACAGTGCACCTACCTGCTCAGTTTTTAACAGTAGCCAGGGCTGTCTTTTGAGAATTTAGTTAGGAAGCCTTACCCCATCTACCTCACAGCCCTGAGCATGTCCCTTCAGGCATCATTTAATTAACCAGAGGACACATTTTGCAAGCCAGCCTCCTGCCCTCAGGCACACAGCCTTTCTCATAACAGGGTCTAGAGCCCTCAGTTGCTTTCTCTATTCCATCACCTCAGCTTCAGTCTCTGGTGTCACTGTTTTCTCTGGTTAGAATCCCATGCTCAGCTCATGCTCTACCCTCTTGATAGTCCTAGGTCCTCTATTCCTGTAATGAAAGATTAACTACGGTCCTCTTTTTGTTACACATCTTCTACCTTTATAGTTGTGACAGTCACAATTAGTCACCATACCAATTACTATTGAATCACAAGAATCCTATCCCCCATCCTCCCCCAACCCCTTTCACCAGACCCATCTAGACAAGTGGAAAACTCTTCAGTGGGGTATTCTACCCTTCCCCCTACTCTGAAACTAAGCACACTCTTGAAAACTTGTAAGCCAGCCACTTCATGTCTTTATAGCCTCCCCCATTTTTGGTACACAGTGTCTAAATTGCTTATTTCTATCAACTCTGTGTACTGAAGGGATAGCCTTGGACCTTGATGTGAAGACTCCTTTCCTCTCAGTTGAAATTTTGAGCAAGTACGTCCGTAAGCAAAGGTTAAGTTCATCAAATCATACCAGCTTACACTTGCTTCCTGTATCAAACTATTTTATCTTCCTCTAGTCGAGTTCTGATCATCAAGCCATTCAAAGGTCAAATGGGTACTATCTCTAAGTTTGGGCATTCTTGTGTGTCTCCCCCGCACCATCAGATCAGCTGGCCACTTCACTCTCAACTGTAACCCTCAGTGGCTAGGTCAATCAGTGTCCATGGCTCAGGAGTTTCCAAGTCTCCCTAAACGTCGGGCCCACCAGCCCTTCCTCTTTCTCTCCCTCATCTCAAGGTCAACAGGTATCTATAGACATGGTTGAAATCAGCTCATGTCTTCATTGCTTCCTCCCCTGACCCACTTCCACTCACAGCTAGACCAAGATGATCACCAGCAAGCATATAAGCCTGCTCATGTATTCCCTTTGAGTTTCAGTCTTGGAAGGGAGTTTATCCTAATGGGCTCACTTTTCTTGCCTTCAAGGCTTCCAGGTGAGCAACTTGCTTGTTCTTGTAACAACCAACAAGTCTGCTGCTTTTTTTTTTTACCTTTTTCTTCCTGCTGGTCTTTCTTTCAAGTATCTGCTGTTCCTCTAACCACTCTGGGTTAGTCTGCATTTCCTTTCAAGTGGAAATGTCCTACATCAGAAGGTTCTGGATGGAGCTCAGGATTCCACCTAGGCCCCATACTCTATTATAAAGGCTTAACAAGAAGCCTATTTCACTGGGCAAATTCTAGTACCCCTTGTAACTATTCCAATCAGTTATAGACCAAAGACAGGCTTACAAGCTTTCTGTAATCATATTTCCCAATATTCCTTTCTGTCCCACTTAAATGTCTGTTTTACAATAGTAGGCAAGGGAAACCAGTATCTGTAAGCCAGTCAAGCACCTTGATCCCTGTGTATCACAGAGCCCTGTTGTGTCAAGGTTGAGCATACATCTCTATTTACCTCTGTCCCATTTAGCCTATGCAAACCTACCTAAGTATTCCCCAGTCTTCCTTGTTCTTCCTCCCCTCTACACCTTCTTGTGTATTCCCTTCCCCATTACCTCAGCTATAATGTGTCTATCTCCTAACCTGTTGTTCAAGTAGATTTTGATCCCCAAACTTAAAGAACATTCAAAAGGAAGAGGATTTGAATCCCTCGAGGATGCCAAAACTGCCATTTTTCAAAAATGTCTAAAGTATGAATACAGTAAAATTGGAAATTGTCAAAATTGAAATGGAATGCATAAACAGTGATATCCTAGGTGAGCTGAAATGGACTAGTATTGGCCATTTTGAATATGACAATCACACGATGTAATTACTATGCCGGGAAATAACAAATTAAAGAAGAATGATGTGGTATTCATCATCAAAAAGAACATATCAAGCTATGTCTTGAAGTACAACACTGTCTATGATATATGTATATGTATATATGTGGATATGATATACATGCACC